GATGTAGATGTATATATATATATATATATATATATACATATATACAGAAACAGGATTGATGGAGGCGTAACTAAAAGTAGTAAAAAGTTGAAGAAGATGCAGAGAGACATGATCATGTCCAACAAAGAAGGGGCCACGATGGTGTGATAAAGGGTCCTCACAGAGAGAAAGGGAACTCATCATTGAAAGAGAAGGCGACAAGTTCCTTTCACATATTCCCCTCTTTATTATACGCACACATATATACATACACACACACACACACACACACCATATATACATACACACATACATCATGTTAAAAGAAAGCTAAAGCTTTATGAGCCACTAGGGCTGTAACTAGGGTTGATGTATGTATATATTTTAAGCCAATCCCATCATTTAGCATCAACCCAGTTCTGACATACACATAATCATGCACGGCTGTAACTAGGGTTGATATATATATATATATATATATATATATAGATACACACACACACACATATATGTATATGTTTTTAAGGCAATCCCATCATTTTACATCAACCCAGTTCAGATTTATACATCATCATGCACCCCCTATAACATGCATATGGTGGATAGCCCACTAGGGTTTCCATATATAAAAGGTTTATTTTGGACTTAGACTTCGATGCTGACTCTTTTTTTCATTTTATTTTTTATTTTTTTATTATTTCCCTTTCAAAATAAAATTCAATTGGAATAATAAATGGTTGAAATATTTTTATATCGCTAAAAAAAAAAAAAATATTATTTATGTTAAATAAATTATACATTTTTTAAAAAATAATAATAATTTCAACTTAACCCATCATTTGTAATTATTTAATTACAATTTTATTTCAAGAATATTAGATCTTACAAATTACATTTTCTTTTATAAATACTAATAGATATATATATATGTGTGTGTGTACATATATATACTTGTTATTTGACTGACTAAATTGATACCCTTTTCCTTCTTCTAGTAAATTACAATTGTTGAAGAAAATTACTTAATTATATCAAACAAAATAATCATTAACATATAATCCCAATAAATTCTGATAAGAACAAAAAACATATTGATATTATATCTATATATATAGGTGCCTACACGTTACTGAAATTAAGTATAGTACCATATTGAATTAAAGTAAAGCTAGATAGTATGGTCGAGAGGTGACTGTCGTTTCATAATTATTACACACGCATATATATATATATATAGCTACAAGGTTTATGAATGGTATTTGTATAAAAAGCTATCACATAATGAAAAATTATTATTACGCCTTACCAATAAATGAAAAATGATTATTGAGAATATGCATGCTTCTTCTTCTTCAAAAAAAAAAAAAAAAAAAACTACATTATTAATTATAAAAGGTGCCCAATTGGGTATCAATAATTGAATTCAATTATATATCAATGATTTTAAAATTAATTTTAAATTACAAATATCATATATGTATGTGTGTGTGTATATATATATATATATAATTAATTAATTAATTATAATTAGTAATTTGAATTAATTAAATTTAAAGTAAAATGTAAAAAAATTTCATAAGATTCCCTTACGTGACAATGATCACAAGCCGCACGAGTCGTTTCATTGGATTCCCTTGTAGATGTTGGGTTCCGCTCGGACACCAAGACACGCATAAATCTGACAACATGATCTTACCACCCCCCCTCCCAATTCTTTTATATTATATATATATACATATAATTCAAAAAATTATTTACATATATATATATATATATATATACATGAACACTAATAACCATCTTAATTATGAAATAAATATTTGTAATGTTGATAAAAATATCATTTTGACTTATAAATATCAAATAAATAAATTAATTAAAAGGCAGACTTTAATTTAAATTCACACTCAATAAAACACCCCTTACATTGCACTCGAAAAAGTCAGAAATACAATTTGATATTTAATTATTAAGACTAAATTTAGTGGGACAAACCCCAGCTAAATTGATAATTACCACTATATATACCCTACGAAATTTAAGAAAAACCCCAACTAATTAAAAAAAAATTTAATTAGCAGGGCTAATAGTAAAATAATATAATCTACCGATTCTATTAACTAGAAAAAGAAAATCCTAATTTCATCACTTCAATCTCTTAATCACACACTCTATACTTCACTGTTGATCGAAATTAACAACACAAAGAAACTAATACTAAAAAAAAAAAAAGGATAAGGAGGAAGTCACAAACATCACCTCTTAAACCAGTGGTGTATATATATATATATGTATATATAAAATAATCTAATATGAGGATTGATCGAGATCAGACTGAGATGTTCTGAATTCTTGCAAAGAAGAAGAAGAGCTCTAAATCTGGGGGAGCGAAAAAAGCAATGGGTCTTCTCTGCAAGGTGGAGCAATTTGAGATGACTCTCTTTTTCTTCGGAGCCGGCGGACACGTGTCAATCGCCGGTATTCTGAACCTCTGAGCTTTCGGGGTAGAACAGCCGTTTGATGAAGAGACATCATCGTCATGGTCAACTTGACCTATCTTCGTAATTGACAAGTTACTGTGATGATTATCAGAGCTTGCGGTTGAAGAACAACAGCAAGGCATATCCTCCAGTAACGGTGTTTCTCGAGCTTGATTAGTAGTTTTCTTGCATTGGATTCTTCCTCTTGTTTTCGTCGTCTTCTTCCTTGGTTTTGATGATGACGATGGTGCTGACGTTTTTGCTGGTTTTCTTGCTTTTGTCCTCCTCCTGGTTACTCTACTTGAAGAAGGTGCCATATTTGGCGTCTGATATATATATATATATATATATATATATATATATCTGTGTGCGTGTGTGTATAGGTTGAAGAAGAGTACTACTTCAAGTACTACTTCAGCAACTGGCAAGAAGAAGAGACTAAAAACTTTCGTAAGTGCACAAGCTACATAAGTACTTATTATAGAAGGGCTTAGTGGAGTACTTTAAAGCAAAAAGCTATTCAATTTGACTGAAAAAAAAAGTGGTAAAAAACCAAACCAAAAAGCCAAACGACCCTCTACTGTTTAATTTCAAGCTCACAGCTCAAGCTTAGCAGAAAATGAAACCAGACCCAGATGATAATTTGAAAGAAACAAATTACCCTCCCTTCGAATAATTAGAGATCACAGAATCAAAGCAGAAAACCCTAGATGACAGAAGAAAAAAAAAAAGAAAAAAACCAGAAGAAGAAGAAGGAGAAGAGGAGAAACACCCACCTAATACGGGAGCTGGAAAAGCCCCAATAAAAACCCTAGATGGAGAGACGGAGGAGGGGAGATAATTATTTCACGGGCTTCTCAAATTCTGCAAGTTATATTGATTGGGGATTATCCGGGCAGGTCTGCCCGTTGCCCTAAGACCAGTAAGCTGAAGAGAGGGAGATTTTTTGTTTGAAAATTTTGTGTGTAATAATATTAAAAGTTATAAATTAGGTTGGATTGAATTAGGATAATTAGGGCAGGCTGCCCGTTGCCCGGAAATATTCCCCATAATTTCCTTTGTTGTCTCCTATGATTATGCTTAGTCACATAATTAGGGTTTATTATTCAAGTTAAGTTAGTTTAATCAAAGATATTCATTGACTTAATAATTGGTTCTTTTTTTTTTTTTCCAATCAAACTTTTGGAAAAGTTATAAATTGAGTAGATATTAAATCAGGTCACATCTGAATGTATTATGTCTACTATATAATTATATATATATAAAACTCAGTATTATTGAATTAATTGAAGTGGAATTTCTTATGTGGGTGTGTGTGTGTACATACATGTATACAACTGTGGTTATGTAATCAAGGAACAGTTAATTGTAGTTAAGATTCTCCTAATTAAATATTATTGAATTAATATGTATATTTGTCTATTTCTGTATTATATATAATAAGGTGTGCATTCACCAGGTGGTCAGACTCAAAACATTTTCAGTACCTGTCAGGGGATCCTAAAACTAGGGTTTTAACTATTTGTACACTCTGTTTATTTATATTCACTGTTTGACAATTTCATGCCATGTTCCATATGAACATAATAATTACAGCAGAAAAATTACATTTGTGTATTTGGGTTTTGGCACTTTTTGAACTTGAAGTTTGATTTAGAATATGGGGATTTTCTTTTGGAGTTAAATTTATTTGAAATAATATATATTTTTTATGAA